CATTATTTATTTATAAGTTTTCGTAAATGCGTTCCCGCTGGTATGGGAGAAATAATCACACATTTACAAATTTATGAAATTTGCTTGCAGGACTAGCAGAACTGTCGATGTGCACAGGTTCTCCTTTTTCTATTAGGTTAGCTGTTTTCATATAAACTTGGTTTTCCTTTCATTTCTTGCAACCCATTTCTTGTAGAAATCCAAAAGGCCCTCGGCCTGCTGACGAAGAATTCCCGTAAGCCGTCCTGTCATTGCTCGAGAGTGGCGAACAGCGCAATGTTCGTGTGGTATGCCATCAGAAGAACCTAGCTGGATTTTGGCGAAAATCTCTGCCTCCAGATTTTTTGAAAATTCGCGAGGCTGCATTTGGAGTATGCTACACAAGCCTGGAGATTCTGGGTAGTCTCGGCAGAGTTCGAAGGAGAGCCACTAAAATGTTTGAGAGTCAAAGCTCCCTGCCATATGCAACCCGCTTAAAGAATCTCAATATGTTGCTTTTGAGGTATAGACGTTCCGCATTTTAAAATTTTGCTACCACGACTAATCTCCGATGTCACTCATCTAAACTTGTTGTTCAGCAGTCACAACTAGGTGTGCGCAGGTCCATCTTCGTCGTGAGAGTGGTCAAGCCGTGGAATGTCCTTCGCACAGATTTTTGATATCAACATTACCGGAACGCCTTAAAAGAAACCTTGACAGATATATGGTAGATTGTATATCTGTTTAAATATGAAGAGATTTGAGATTTTGAATTTTTTAATTCAGTTGATTTGAGCCGCAAAGTGCAGTTTACTCGAGAAGAGTTCGGTTCAGGTCAGTATACTGGGGGCAAAAGGAGCCAAATCAGATGTTTTTTGATATCCAAGAAATTACCTACGCTACTAAACGCTGTGTGTTGTACGTGTTGTAATTTAAAGAACATTAATAAAGAGCGGAAACTTTTTAAATATAGGAATTCACAGAACGGACAATTTTTTTGACCTCAAGAAATTGAAGTTAGTGCACGTATAAGATAACGCATTATTATCGGAAAAAAAAGAACGGAGCCCGTTTACAAAGTGTCGTCTTGAAAATCTGCCAAGGTTTTTGCCATAAAATAAAGTAGTAAAATTATAAGGCAGTACCTTGTTTTACCCCACGGACAAAAACGACCTGCCGCCTATTTTATTTGTCAAACTGTATGCAATGGATGTCTAAACATGTGCTTTCTATAGAGCAAAATCATTGAATAGAAGAGCTTGAAACGGAACGGACGGATGATTATTAGTTTTCTCAAACTCGTCGATTATATTCTGCTACTCTGCTCTGCATTTGTTATCCTAGACTTGAGCCTATTAGTAGACAAATATACTGAAAACTTATCCGGTATACAGAGAAAAATGACTTCTTCCATTTTCAGCAGAAGATGCATGCCCAATTTGAGGAAAGTCAAAAAACTGGCAAACCTTTAGCTTAATCTTCAAAAAGTGTAAAGTACACAGATACCCGCCGCCAAAATATCTAACCAGAGCACTTTTCAAGAGGTAACTTGCAATAGAAAAAGTTTTAACTAATCTTCCGCATATTCATTTGCGACCCTTGTTGTGGACTTTTATTTTTCCGGCAATCAGTTGACATGTTTGGGTGATTCTAAAACCCTGACCCAAACAGACAGCTGCGTAAGACAGAATGATCGCAAACTCGCTATTTAGGTAAATTCTTTTAAGAAAGATCCTACTTTGAAGGTTTTGGTAAGCACGTAGGATATAATCCTTATTTATGCCCAATTGACTGAAGCCAGTAAAAAATCTTAGGGTGTTTATCACCACTTCAAGAACCATCTGAAACCTCGCCATGATCGAAATCCCTAAATAATTACAAAGAAATGTGACGGAAGGAAATTTCCCCAAGTATACAAAAAATGGTAATTTTATGATTGCATCTGACAATTCCATTTAAATGTATTAGGCACTTACCGGCATGGCTGTGCGTGAGCTTAGAAAATATCTTACTTCTATGACCTCCCAAGCGGCAATATCTCGTGAAACCATGTTTCAATACATACTCGAAATTCGGGCTCTTCGGTAACAGTCAGACATAACATTGCAAGTAATATGGAAGCATATGTCTCCAAAAATTTTGCAAAACGAGCATTTGCCAACGTAATGCTGCCTGTGCTGCTTTATTCACTCGGTTTTTTATGCATGGTAAAGCTTCCTCTTAGTTTTACCCAATACGCCTGATTTTCGCTTTTTTGTTGTGCTCCCTTTTGCTAAAATGTGGCATTTCTAAACAAAGTTATATTACTTGATAAACCACAATATGCCATTTTTTGAAGAACGACAATTACCTGATTGCTCTAAGAATTTGGTGACCGCAGTTGGGGCTGTGTTTACGTAACAGGGAGTTTTTTGTAAAAATCCTTGGATTTCGTGAGTAAGAAAACCTACTGTATGTTCGAAAAGGAATGAAAGCTTTGAAGGATTTAACTTCAACCTTGAGACTTCCGCCCCCAATTTTCATATTTTATAGCCCCGTTTGAGCTCTTGCCACCCGCATGGCTACGTGCGACACTGCAGTGAATTTTACTCAAAGGGCCATGCCTATTTACCTGAATAAAATAAAATGCCGACTTTATCCATTTATGTTGATGCCAAAGGAAATTGTGGCCCGTGACGCAAGCATTAAATATCATTAATGTCTGATAGAAGCAAAGGAGCAAGCGATCTAAGAAGAATACAAGAAGAAAAAGATACAATCGTTGCAAGTGACCATGAAGCAAGAGATACCCATTTCAGTCTCCCTTGTTGTTGCCGGCCTTCTGCCAGCTGTTACAATGATCAGGGCTTCTGTGCAGGTCCAAGACACAGCGGGATATATGAGTTCCGTTAGCTGCCAGGTGAAAATTCATCAACGAGTGTCAATATACCCTGACCTAAAGTGGCTAGAAAACGAGTTTGTGGCTCAATGCTTGGATCGTTTGACTCTGATTAAAATAATCACGAGTTCGAGGCTCTGCCGAAGCTCCACTTGGGTCTGTGTATGACTGACTGATGACGGCTAATAAGCCAGAAATGGCCATTCAATTGTCCCTCTTGCTTTTGCCCGGAATACTAACTGCCTTGACTGCTAGCCACTAAAGCTGCTGTTAGGACCCGAGAAATTAAGCCCGAAACAGAGCTGGACAAATGAATTGCATTAGCGGTAGTTGAACGTTCTTCAAGGAACAGAAACTCTACTGGCCTGAAGTTTCGGATTATTGCTCGAAACTATCATCTGATACAGTAGCCAAGGGTGCGGTAATTGTGGGGCGCGTTGCTATACAGCCAATGCCTAATCCAACCAACATATCTTGCGCTTATCGCTGGTGGTCGTGCACGATATAATGGTTACTCGGTAATCGGCGCCTGAGGTGCTACTTGTCGAAATTCCATCATCATTGTCGATTATTGGCGTGATGAGTACTCGGCAATTTGACTCTCTGTCATTAAATCTTTCGCCGTCAGCATACTCCTCAACTAACTTATTACTCTGCCAAGGTATGCCCAAGGTTCGGTCGCACGAAGCGCGGCCCCAAGAGGTAGTCTCCTTTCTCCTCACGTCAATAAACCACATATTCACGTGACTGCATCTTCTTCGCTCGTATATACATATCTACCCGTCCTTAGGATATAACAGTATTTGGAGAAATCGATTTTGCTACAGAGAAGTAAATCTTTAAGTGAAATAATTAAGGAACTATTTCAATAGTTGAAATATCTTTGAAACCAAAGGACTCGAGATAGGAACTCCGAAGCAGTTAATTCCAGTTCAAATATACGCAACTACATTGTAGTACGCAATCTTAATTTTGTTACTGGGGTTAAATTCTCCACCTCTGTCATCAAAAGTGTAGTGTTTCTTTATGTATTTAGCATTCTAAACCACAAGCACGTGACGTCAACACGACCACTTAAAAGCCAAATACGTGTCCTGTTGTTTAAGAACTAGCTGCAGATAAAGAAAATTTAGTCAAATTTTTTGAAAGCCTTCTGAAAGTGAGAAAACGCAACGCAAAATATTTACAAAATAGGGCGTCTCAAAGTACAATTTTTTGTTAATGATTAAAAGGAAAATTTTTGAAGATGATAGCTACATCAGCGGGTTAAAATGGAGAATTGTATTTTGTAGAAGATGCTATTTATTACGCAGTACGTGGTCAGTTATTCATGCATTAGACCTGCCTAATCTGAGTCATCTTACATCAACGGGATAGGGAAATAGACGCAAAGAGTAGGGTAAGAGTAGACAATAAGTTTGTAAAGGGCATACGCGAACACCTTGAGGTTGCCTAAGGAAAACAGTCAGACAAGACCGTAACGGCATCACTTCGGTTTTCTTTGTACAGTAATGCTAGTTGATATTGATTAAGCTAATATCAGTTTAGTTATAAGCAAAGTTAGCAGTTACACCGCATACGAATAATCTACTATTTTACTTAACTTCCTGATATGACGCGAGAATAATTGGCATGTGTGGCACTTATATTTAAAACCATGAAGTATTTCACAATTCCTCCGTAATTTTAAGGATATACTCTATACAGTTTCTCATTCAGTGTGATAGGCAACCATAGGCCGTAATCAGTTCG